GCATTACCTCTATATTATATCAGCCTCAAAACAAGTTCAAAAATACATTTTGTCTGAATATAGGATTGTAAAGTCTTGGTTAGATTGGAAATAATTGCAGTGTAATTAGGATGGATGCATCATCAAAGCTACTTCAATAAATGTGACTCAGTCAGGTGTACAGTTTATGGCGATAATAGCTGAGAGTTGTTAACAAATCTTTAGAGATGTCATCATTATTACATTGTTCTATTTTCATTTTATTTCAAGGTTTGGCAGAAACAACTGTAACTCTGTCATTTCTCATCATGAAGGGATTTTAGTTTAAAGTTCTGAGGTGGTGGGTGAAATGCATATTAATACCCTCCTGTTTATTCAGTTTGTCCTGCAGACTCATCATCTCTGCAGAAACAACTCAGTCATGACAAGGACCTAGACAGCCTCTCCACCTCCCCGTCATCAAGCAGCTTGGACATCTGCATCAGCCAAAATATGTTCCAGACCTTCAGCAGGTCCAGCAGGAGTCCTGCTCATCCAGAGACCCTTGGAGTTGAGGAGGTGAGGGAGGCAGGGCAGGACTCTGAAACAAAGGGTCACATCATCCAGGAAGCCAGAATAGTGCGCTCAGTAACTGATGGAGCACTACGGAGTCAGGTCCTGGGCTCACTTAGCCTCCATGGGGTAAGTACAGCATGACAGCATCATGTTTTTTTATTTAACATTCTCTGATGATTGTGTAACTCTAGTCTGGGCAGCTGGGCATAAAGGACCTTCCTACACGTATTTAGAAAATTATAGTAATCATCTTCTACTTTTTCTATCATAAAACAAGTTATTTTCTGTTCAACAGTTAAACTCTATATGAAGTTATTCCTCTAATCACAGGTTTTACAGAAACAACCTGCAGCAGGTGTATTTTCTTCATACAGGTGCTGGTTGTAAAATTAGAATAAAAAAAGTTGATTTGTTTCAGTAATTCCATTCGAAAAGTGAAACTTGTATATTGTATAGGACACCTGGTGCCACACTCTAATCAACTAATTAACTCAAAACACCTGCAAAGGTCTTTAAATGGTCTCAGTCTAGTTCTGTAGTTCTGAAATACTAGAAATATTATGCAGCCTAAAATGACCTACTGTAAACACCAAAACCGTTGAACTAGTGTAGCTGGAGAAAGTCTGCATCTCCTGACCTATGAATTACTATAAATGCTAGAAATTATTTTCATGTTGGTTCTCTTGAAATGTAACATTCAGTCTCTGTCCAGGTAAAACTTGGCGTTCGTTCAGGTACAGAACTGGACTGCAGTCTTCTGTTTGTGGACCTCTATCCTAAAGTGTCAGCTGGTTGTTTTTTCACAGAGAGCCTGCAGCTTTGGAGGGTTTGACCTGACCAGTCGCTCAGTCTCTTCTGACACAGATAAGACAGTATGAACATCTGTTCCTTAAAAAAAAACAACCTGAAGATAAATATGTATTTCATTTTTTAACCTCTGCTGTACTGGAGCTGTTCCCTTTGTGTTATAAATTAGATCAAAGATGGAGAGAGTGGTGTGAGAGAGCTGAGGTCTCTCCCGATGTCACGGATTTCTTTAGGCAAGAAAGTCAAGTCTGTGAGAGAAACTATGAGAAAACACATGTCCAAGAAATATCACTCTGAACAGGTATTATACTGAAACATGGTTAATTTACAGAGTGTTGTGGGATTTGTAAAGTTTTTGCAACAAATAGTTGTTTTTCTTCTTCATCGCAGTCAAGTCCAGACCGCTCGTGCAGCTGCCCCCCTTCGCCTCAGACCGACTCCAACTCTTTGGAGAATCCCAAACTGAAGCCTGGAGGGTCTGTGGAAAGCCTGAGGAGCTCCCTCAGTGGTCAGAGTTCCATGAGTACGTCGGCAGGTTTCTGAAAAGAACTTGACACTATTTATCCTACAAGTGTTTGAGAGAGGCTAAACCTTCTGGTTGTAACCTGGTGTTTGTGTTTGGTGTAGGTGGTCAGACGGTGGGCACCACCGACTCCTCCAACAGCAACAGAGAGAGTGTGAAGTCAGAGGATGGAGAGGAAGATGAGGTTCCGTACCATGGACCGTTCTGTGGACGGGCTCTGGTTCATACTGATTTTACTCCCAGTCCGTACGACACAGACTCCCTCAGACTGAAGGTACACTACGTCAAACGTCACATGAAACACCACAGAAAGAACAAAGATTTTTAAAGACTCTCAATCTTGACTGGCCTCTGTTTGCAGAATGGAGATGTTATTGACATCATCAGTAAGCCCCCCATGGGGACGTGGATGGGGATGCTCAACGGTAAAGTCGGCACCTTTAAGTTCATTTATGTGGACGTCCTGAATGAAGAAGTCAAACCTAAAAAGACCCAAAGAAGGAGAAAGGCCCGGCAACCCAAACCCACATCTGTTGAAGAGCTACTTGATCGCATCAATCTTAAAGTAATGATCTGCAGTTCTAAAAGAAACCACACACACACACACACACACACACACACACACACACACACACAC